CTGAGTTATATTAATAAATATGATTCCCACTGTTTCATATTTTCATATAGTCCAGAAATAGGCTCTTCTATCAACCCATGTTGCTCATACTGGTTCTGATTTTCTCAGCTGGTTCATTATTCCCTTGGGAAAGAGAGCTAGCCTTTGTAACAGCAGGATCATGTATCTCATCAAATCAACCCCAGTAAGGACACCAGCAGGGAAATCAAGGCTACCTATGTAGAAACCCAGGGCTCTTCCTGCTGTTACCTGTACCTGTGTTCCACCAGGACACAGGAAAGAGCTCTTTCTGTTTGTACACACAGGAGAGTGGGAGGGTTCACCAAGGACTCAAGGGACTTGACAGGTGTATGAATTCTGGGCTCCGTAGGAATCCCTCAAGGATATTAATGGCCAAAAGTGCAGGGTATGCTTATTAGAGTAGGAGAAGTAAGCAGTTCTAATAATGATCCCTTCAGAATGAATCAGAAAAGAACCAACAATAAATAGGAATAAGCGAGAAAAGCCAAAGAGCAATGGAAACCCTGTCCAAACGCCTTCACTTTCTCTAGGCCTCATGTGATAATGACAAAGCTCTTACCTAATAAGTGCTCTCAGTCTTGCACGCAGGCTCTGTTAGAACAGCACCCAGATCTTATTTCATTTATGAGTGTGCACTATTGTTCTTCTTTCCTAGGCAAGACATTGTAGTACAAACTAAAAAGGCTTGTTGTCTCTCAATACACATCATTCTGTTGATTTAGTATGGAATCCAAATACAGGAAAATTATATGGGTCTCTTCTCGTTCCCTGTAGCTATCTGAATACTAAAGTTTCATTCTGGAATATTTCATGGGATGTCAGCTAACATTTTTCTCTGATTCTGCTCAATCGCTCAATAAAGGAAAAATATGTTGTTTTTCATTTTAAATTAATTTCAATTTAGAAATTAACATGCTTAGAAGCAACTGGGAACACAGTAAGTGGAATATACAGCTGAAAGTGCTGTTATTATCAAGTGTTAGGTCAGTTCACATTACATACATATGCATCAAACCAGCTGTCTAGAAATTCCTAGGATGAGGTTATTTTTTTAAGATTTATGTATTTCATTTCATTTTAAATTATACTTCTTTATTTTATTATTTATTTTATGCTATGTGTTTGAGTGTTTTGCCTACATGCATGTAAAACATGGAGGCCAGAAGAGGGCATCAGATCTCCTGGAGCTGGAGTTAAAAGCAGTTGTGAATTATCCTGTGATTGCTGTGAATTTAATCCTGGTCTTCTGCAAGAGGAGCAAGTGCTTTTAACCACTGAATGATGCAACTCTCCAACCTCCATATGTTGTTTTTGGGAATGAAAAGAAGTTCTGCTAAAAAGAAGCATTTTATTTTCATTGAAACACGTGTTTTTGGACATGGACATTTCACAGTGAATGTCTCAGAAAAATAACTGTTTATTATCAAGATGGCTTTCTGATAGGAATATTTTAGCATCTATTTATTTATTTATTTATTTATTTATTTATTGTGTGTATGTGCATGAGCCATGGCACAAGTGCAGCAGCCAGAGGGCAACTAGCAACAGCCTGTTTTTGTTTTCTTTTAATATTTTATTATTTTTATTTTACGTATATGAGTGTGTTGCCTGCATGCATGTGAGTGCACTTGTGTCATGCAATGCTGTGAAAGTCAGAAGAGGGCTTTAGATTCCCCTGGAACTGGAACAGTTCATAGCCACCATGTGGGTGCTGGGAATCAAACCCGGGTCCTCTGCAAGAGCAGTCAGTGCTCTTAACTGCTGAGCCATCTCTCTAGCCCTGCAACAATCTGTTTTTAAAGGGGTTATTCATAATCCTAAGTGTACTGAGTCATGGTTTCTGAACATCAGCTATATTGACATCTGGGGCTGTATTGACATCTGAGGCTGGATAACTATGGGAACTGTCTAGTTCAGCATCAAATGTTAGCCACAACCCATGCCGTAACTTAACAAATGCTAGCAGCACATGCATCCCAAAGTTGGAAGAAAACAAGAGCATCTCCAGGCATTATTAGTGTCGCTCGGGAAGAGTAGCCTTAGCTGAGGAAGACAGCTCCAAGCCTGTCAGTAAGCTCCATCCTTGGAGTGAAACAAAATGATTTCTCTTCTACTTTGACTGACATTTCTTTTATTCTCTTGGAGTGATTATGCCATTTTTTTCAATACCTTTACCTTAGGGCAGCAGATCCCATTGACTATTTGCCAAAGCTTAGCTAGGCTTAGGGACAGATCCTTCAGGAGAACTGTCAAATTAGGCTTTTACTTCAGAACTCCAGAATAAGGAAGTAGCCCAAGGGTACATACAATCCTTTGTATTTAAAAGACAAGATATAGAAGGAAGAATCTTCTCATTTCACACTAAATTGAGCATTATATAAATAAAGCCTTCACCTCCACACCCTCATGAGATCTTCAGATTCCTCATCTTTGCGTCTGTTGAACACCCTAATCAATATGTCCAACTCTCCTTCCTCCTTGACCCCCAACCAAATCAACACGAGCAAGCATATGACGTTATATTTTATTGGAACAATATTTTGGAAAAAAATGGTGTTCAAAATAATCTCTTATTGAACTTTCACATGTTCTATTATAACCAGTTTTAAAATCACAGTAATAGAAGCACATGATGCCAACAAAAGCATTTTTATTCAAAATTTCTACCTGACAGATGTCTAGAAAAATACAGATTTTCAAAGGATGTTTTCTCAACAGTGTACCAAAAGCTGGGCCAGCCAGTCACATGAAATAAAATGCCATGCCCTGGCCACTAGAGCTCGTACTGTTCTCTGCTGTGTCTTTAAGGGCAGGTATCACTGTGCAAGCCAAGCCAAGCCACTGTCCTCAACTCACTAACAAAGTTATTTCCCTTCATCTCAATCCCCCCCACACTACAATTTGATGTGCCAAACACATCCCATGATTACATGCACAATCTCAGAGACTCATTCTCTGAAGCAGCAGCCTGGGGCCACCATTCCCACACACCCCTCCTTTAGATCCACAGATGGCCCAGGCTTCCAACAGCATCTTCTGTTTCATTTCCTACATCTAGCAAAACATCTCTTAAAATGTGCTGAGTGAGGACAAAACATAGCAAGCTGAAGGAGCTTGAGAAGGCACACCATGGTGACAACCCTCTTTTCATTTAATTTCTGATCCTGGGACCTGTAAGTACTTTCTGATTCATTAGCTGGTGTGTGAATATTTGCTGGTCAAAGGGCCCGTTTTGCATACCGATTTTTGAAAAAAAATTTTTTTTTTACATTAAGCTAGTCCTTTCTTCCTTAATATTTACACGCTTTCCATCGAAGAGGTAAGCGATGGTCACTGCCTGTTTTCCCATGCCTCCTCTTTGGACCCACCTGCTTACTGAATCCACAGGCAACGTCACCACCACCGCGTTACCTGCAGGGGCGGCAGAGAGAACCACAGACACCCAGAGGAGTAATGCCTCTAGAAGGCTCCAGGGTTCAGAGCCCATCTGACAGCAGGAACTCCTAGGGCTCCCTTCCAGAGTCCAGGAAGGGAACAGTCCTGCCTGAGCGGCATCCTCCAGTGTGAAATCCGGAAAGACCAGTGGCATCTGGTTTCAAATAAAAGGTGACCCGGGAAGAGGCTAAGGAGGCGCACTGTTGGGCCGAAAAGAATGTAACCCTGGAGGAAAGAGGCAAAAGAGAGTCCAGGCAGAAAGCTTGTTTCCCTTAATCCTCTTCCAGGGCCACTGCGGAGTCTTAGGTCTCCTTGTCATGGAGACAGACTGCAGCAACACACGCGACCCCAGCCGGCAACCCGCACAAGCGTGCGCGCACACGTACACTCACACTCCCCGCCGCGAGTTGCTTGCTGCAGACTTCTGCCTGACTTCCCAGTCCAAAACACAGCACCCCCCCCACCCCACCCAGTGAGACTAGGGATTCCTGTGGTCTAGAACAAACACCACTCCTCCTCCGTGTAACACACAAATCCAGATCACAGTGCAAGAGCCGGGATCCACGAAACGGAAGTACCGGTGGCTCCCCATAAGTGACTACCTTCCCAACTGCCTCATCTCTGTCCACATCTCCCACCAGGGAGCCCAGGCGCCTGTAAACCAGGTAGGAGATGGAGGAGGAGCCCAGATTCCAAAGGAACCTCAGAGAACCACTACTCGACCACTAATCTAGGGGACGTGGCTCACAGGTAGTCTCCAGTCCTTTTCCCATCCTTTCAGTCCCAGCAGCAGCAGCCCCGTTCACAGGCGCGGTCCCTGTTTCACTCCTCCCTCCCTTCCCCCAAATCTTTCATCACCTTTCCAGCTCGCCCTTCCAGGTCACTTTCTTCACTCAGCCGATTCTCAACATGTGGCCTCACACACTCCCTTGGGAGCGGAGACTTGATTCAAACCGGCCTGTCTCCATCATTATATCTTCTTAGCTTGCTCCGATTCCCCAGATTAACCAAGTCCACCCGCCCCTTCGGAACCCACTGAACCTTCCGCTGGTGTCCTATGCTCTCTCGTTCAAATTCGCTTTTCCGGCACCCCACTTTCCACCAATTTTCCCTCCTGTCATCCTGGTTCAGGACAAACTAGCCCCCTACTCTGTGCTCTCGCCCTCTGTCCCTCCCAGGGATACCCCACTTTCCCTTTGCGGCTGGGCTCAGGCAGGCTCCCGCTCCTCAAACCTACCCTTTCCATCCCTCACTGGCCGGCTCCCGACTGCCGGCTCCCCTTCCTCCACTAGTGGTCCTTCTTCCCAAGTATCCCCCACTTGACCCCTGAACCAGTCCCGCCGTCCTGCTCTGCCCTTCGCCTTTGCGGGAGCATCCCTGTGACCAGCCGCTTCCGAACTGTCCAGCGGCTCGGAGGAGCGCGGGGCACCGGAGACAGAAGCCCGCGGGCTCACCCGGTGTCCAGGCGCTCCTCCCGCCCGCCGGCCCGGGCTCCCCGGGGCTCCCAGCCCTCGTCCCATCACCCAGCAGCCGCATAAACTTACTTGCAGGTTGCCGGGAGGGGGCTGCGGTGAGCGGCGCGGGCCCCGCGGTGGCGAGTGCGCCCCTCTCGGCGGGGCCGGGCGCGGCGCTGGCACTGTGAGGAGCCTGACGCAGCCAGGCTCTGCCCCCGCCGCCGGGGCCGCCAAGCGCTTGCAGACATGCTCAGTTTCCGGACCTGCCCGCGTGGAAGCTACCAAGAGCCAGCCGCGGCGGGGGAGTCGGCCCCGGCAGCCGCGAGCTGGAGGCGACCAAGTTGGCGGCCCCGGGAAGAGGGGGGTGACGAGCTGCTAAAATTAGCTGCTGCGGAAGGAAGCCGCCGGCTGCCAGTGCACCCCCTCGCCGCGCATCCCCGCCGGCGTGCTCGGGCAGCTCGCGTCCCGCAGCGTCCCTACCCTGGGAAATGGGGCCGAGCCACCTGCGCGGATGGCCAGAGCCCAGTCCCAGCCCCAGGCTGCCTGGGAACAGCCCCCATCTGCCCTGCAGCCCTAGTTTCAGGACCTAGCCAAAGACAGTGAGGAAAGTTGAGCTGAAATGATGCAAAAACTCCTCTGCGACAGACTTTTGAAGAGGAGGAAAAAGTTTTTTGGAAGCTTGATTTTGTTGGAAAAAAAAAAAAGAGGGAAGGCGGGTAAAATTCAGAGAACCTGCCAAGGGGCGGCGTGGGGCGGGTTGAAGGGGCTCTGGAAAGAGCTGCTAAAATTCGGTTTTCTGTTCCAGCTGTTTGCGAGTTCGTATTCCGCAGGATTTTACATAATTCGTTGACACGCACCCTGACCTTGGAGGTACTGTTGTTTCTGTTGCTAGAGCTGTCACTTACAGCAACCTTCTGCAGCTCCCACCTTTGCCAGCTTGGCTTCCCGCTAGGAGAAAAGGGGAAACTGAAGTGGGTAGGTTCCAGTCAGAACTGGAACCTGGGCGTTTTGTCACCTTGAGGAAAGCTAGTTTATCCTCTCGACAGGATGTGCGCAGGGTTTTGAGAGCTCAGGCAGCCACATCAGCCCACGGATCTCAGAGCCACCTGACCTGCAAGCGAGCTGTTTCCTATTAATTTCCACTCTAGTCCACCTCAGCTCCTGACAATTATACGTACCTGTTACTGGCATTTAAAGTGAAATGTGCAGGAATATTTCTCTATGTAGAGAGATAGATGAAGGGTGATTAGGGAGTGAATAGGCATAAAGTACAATGACGTGCATGTATGTCATAGAGAAACTTTTATATAGTGAAAAAATTAATAAAATTTTTGAAATGTAGAAATTGGTCAAGTTCTACTTTTATTATTTGCATCTGGCACAATCACCAAATTAGAATCATTTATGTTTGACAGAAGAGGACACTGAAGCCTGAGGTAACACCTTGTTGAACACAGAATCTGTCAGATGAGAAATTTACAAGATTTAAGCACAACTTATCCCCCAGAATCAGGAGCTCCACCTGACGTAAGGGATCAGAAAAATTAGAAGCTATTTTCAGTGCACATGACTAAATTTGTTCTGTTACATTTTTTCCTATTTTTAAGTTGAAATTCAGAGCTTAGATGTGACTGTGTTTCATCCCATTTGTTCAGAAAGAATTACTGAAAATTTTCCAAGGCCATGCATTGACTAGGAATGCGTTCCACACATATCACATAGTCCTTCATAAAGACACGTTCCTTTGTCATTATTGAAAATTAATGGTTTTACTACCACAACTAAAGCCACACAGATGTGATTTTTCACAGAACTATAGTAATATATGTTTATCAGTGTTGGTGTATCTTCCTAAATTGGTCCCTTCCATCCCCAATCACAATTTAGTTTGATTTTTAGGATTTTTTTTGTCTGCTGATGTTAAAAATGTCATTTGTAGGATCAGAATCATGCTTTACGACAACACCAATTTACTAATTTTCCATAACTTGGAAAATCAAGGTAGAATTTAGAATTTCCTTGCATTATCAACACAACTTACTCATTCCTTCCTGTCAATGTTAAAAGAGGATGAAAAACAAAAGTCATGTTCGTGCTTGTTGTTAGTCACTCTTCCACAATCACCAGTCACAGTAGTAAGAGATGCTTTCATGATACAGCATACATATTACATATAGTCATGAAGCAGGTCATGTTCTGATTTTAAAGTCCTTTGTGGTTCCTACATTAATGCATAGTTCCAAAACACATTGCATTCAAGACTTGCAACGCAAAATGATAGAAACTCAGTGTAACTAACATAGGCACATGAAGAATATTCATTTGTTTGTCCTGGTAGCTCTGAAGTAGAAGCAGGAGGGCTTCTCCCTGCATACAAACATCAGAAAGAATATAGTTTCCCCTTTTACCTCCCCTGCACTGACCATTGCTTCCTGTGTTCATGATAGTATTATTTAGGTTATGACCATAGTGCTGCTTCATCTATATACAGATAACAAAGTTTGCTATCTTGATTTTTGGGTTTTTGTTGTTGCTGTTGTAAGCTGGTTTGGTTTGATTTTTGGTTTGTTTTTTTTTTTTTTCTTTTTTTTTTTTAAGCCTTTTGTTCTGGTAAGAAGAACCCCACGTAGCTCTCCATCCAGACTCACAAGAACAACTCTGTCTGTCCACCAGAAGAAAGAAAATTTCTCAAACAAAGAACGCTCAGGTACCAGAAGGGATAGGTAATGCCCACAAGATAGGAAGAACAGATATTCACTGCCTTCATGAAGTGTCTTGCTTCACTGCAGACAAAAAAGGACAGCAATCCTGGTGGAATATCTATTGGTCAGAGTTACTCAGAAATGAGCAAAAGAATAATAAGGCTTTGAAGTAATTTTCCCCCTATGTCTTTTAGGTGAGATGCTTTGATTTCCCAGCCTAAAGGTAACAGTTCCCTCTTTGTTGTCTTTTCATCTTTATTTCAAGGCCTGGGTTACTTCCAAGGTGATGCCACTCATTAAAGTCATCTAATGAGAAATATAGACAGCTGAGGCCTCCAGTCCATAGTCTGTCTCTACAGGAAAAGAATGTTTTCCATATTATAAAGCCTTTCTTTTGTGGTTCAGTATACTTGGCCATTATGTAGACTGTGTGATAATAAGAAGTGGACATTTTACCTTTACCCTCCAAGCCTGAACAGATGGAAGAGTTGATGATGATGTCCCTATAGCTACCATGTTGTAACACTGTTAGAATTATTAACTTATTTTGAGACAGAATCTCTTGTAATCCAGGTTGGCCTTGAATTCAACTATGTATCTGCGAATGAATGAGTGCTGGAGACCAAGCCGACAGCCTCGTTCATGCTAGAAAAGCATTCCACCAACTGAACTATATCCCCATTCTTACAATTATTTAAATAATTTGTTCTCTTGAAATTTCCAGTTCCTTTTGCCTTGAAGTTTCATAAAATTATGAATAAAATATATAAAATTAACCAAACACAAAATAAACAAAATCACCAAATCTCGAATCTTTCCTTTGATCTTCTTCTTTGACTTCATCCATAGTCTTCTGCAGATTCCTCTCTCGGCTTCTTACACACCACACCTCCTCTCCTGGTAAGACTGTTCCTCCTTCTTAACTAATTCATTGTTCCTTTCTCTTTTCTGTAACTCTTCATTAGTCTCTTATTCCACGCTCTTATATTTTCCTTATAACTATATTAACTTTTTTTCCCCGCTGAACTGCAAGGTATTGGAGGATTGGCACTGTGACAATTTTTATGTGTACTTTGCTCTTCACTGCTCAATAGATGCTTGCTGGGGCATTCATGGGTTGTTAATAAGATGCTAATAGTAAGATTCTTATTTAGATGTAAAACAAGATGGCTAGGGCAAACACTTCATCACTCGGTTTCAGAGAGTGGAGGGCATGTGGAATCAAGGTCTGAAAGAAGAATGCCATGCACTACAGACTTTGCCTTCTTCAGCTCTTCCTCTTTTAGTTTTTGTTAGCAAAATTATCGAACTGAATTCTTTTTAAAATTTACTTTTAGTATTTTTCTTTTATGTATGAATGTATTGCCTACATGTGTGTGAGTGCACCCGTGCCATGCAATGCCCACGGAGGCCAGAAGAGGGTGTTGAATCCCATGGAACTGGAGTTATGAACAGTTTTTAACCTGTCATATGGGTGCTGGCAATTGAACCCAGGTCCTCTGCAAGATCAGCCAGTGCTCTCAACTACTGAGCCATCTCTCCAGCCCCTAACTGAATTCTTTAAGTATGTGCTATGCCCTACTATCAACTGTCTCTTATACCTCTGGATGTTGGCACTGATTCCAAGCATGTTCTGCTTCTCCTGCATAAGGACAGCCCCTTTTAGACCTGTGGACATCCAGTTCCCTCTCTGCTGCCTGTCTTTCACAAAAATTTTGCCCTTAGAAAATCAGAACTAAGATGAAAAGGTGAAAATGTTCCTAAATTACTTCTTTGAGAGAAAAGGGAAATATCAGGAAAGCTTCATTACAGAACATTTAAAAGTTTATCTTCCTGATAATTATTTCTCCATTGTCAAAAAATAAAATCAGAACAGTTAAATGTGAGTGATTTGAAGTCATTTATGCCCAAATTCTTTTTGCATTTTATGGCTGTACATAAGTGTCATAACAGATGTACGCATGGTATCACTAAAGATATAAATGTTCATCCCTTTCCCCTGCATGTTAAGGCTAAAACTGCTCTAGGTAATGGTCATAGGACATTAAGGATGCTCACAGTATTTGTGAATCGAAGATGCTTCTTGCCTAAAAAACTTAGCTCTGGTGGTCCTTCCCTTAGGGAAGAAGACTGTGCGTAATTATGTGCTTCAATATCAGGTTGTTCTTTTCGTGTCTCTAAATCTAACACAAACATGACTTAGGCACCGAGCAAGCAGCAATGCCTTGATAAAGCTGTGGGCCTTTCCTCTCTTCTTTCCCATAATGTTTAATGCAACACTAACAAATATTTTAACTGTATGGTCTCAAATTCTCAAGCGCTGTGAAGAAATTCATCACACAATATTTTTTCCACAATGCTTTTCAATATAATGGATTCAAACATAAGACTACCTTAATTTCTGTCTGTCTGTCATGCTGTTTAGTAGATGGTCTCTTGGCATGCTGCTTATCTAGTGAAACAGTATGTTAATCATCACATTTTGGTTGCATATATAGAAATCTATCTTAAACTGATTTAGATGAAAAGAGAGTTTTGATATAGGATAAAACACAACCTTAGATGGCAAGGGGCTTCTGTGAGTATCAGGAGGTGAAGACAATTCTGTCCATTTCCAATCAGCATCTCTGTCAGTTTTATTTTCCCTCCTTTTAAGCAGGTTTCCTGCACAACCTGCATAGACATAGGATCCATCCACCAATGAAACACTAAAATGATTCCATTTGTTTTGATTTCATAGGTCTCAAAGAAGTTATTAAC